TTGTGGAGATCTGCCTCTATTTTTGAACTTAGTAGTAGGGAATAGAAAAAAATAAATAAGAAAGCATAAATGGGCTGATCTACCAAAGAACATGTGATAACTAAAACTCACAGCCCAGCCACACCTTGCTCTCATAACTAAAAGTGAGATTACCCTCACACTGCCCTGAATCCTCAGAGGTCCTCACTTCCATGAACCAAATTCCTCCAGCCCCCAGCCTTTTATCTGCTATGCTTCTTTCCCCTATCTCTGCATCTGCCCTCCCTAGTCCTCTTCAACTAGAACACGCTTACTTATCCTTCATGATTTGGCCCACATACACCTCCTATAAGCCTGCCCTACCACCCACAGATGCCTGATATGGTGTTAGGAATATCTCCTCTGGGTACCCATGACAGATCCATGGGCACCCCAAGGGTACTGCCACAATTTTACCTCTTCGGGTCTCCTATTTGATGCAGACTTCAAAGGCATAAGCTTTGTGTTATTTCATCCATGCTTTATAGGCCTTATAAGCTGTCCTACATAGTAGACTCACTCATAAGTACTGCCTGAATAATACTAGAACCATTTGTACAGATCTCACCATTTACCAGAAACTGACTCATTTAATTAATCCTTCCAACAATGCTATGCACTAGAGCTATCATTGTCCCCATCTTACCAGAGAAATTGAAAAACTACTCAAAAGTACACAGTGCATGAGTCTGGATTCTAACTCAGGCAGCCTGGCCCCAGAGCCTTGAACCATCATGGAAGATGGCTTTCACAGAAGAAATAAGTGTTTGTAACACTAATATTATTCCCTAGTATACAAATAAAGCCAATAGTTACATATTTAAGTTCAGAACACATATCTGTAGATTCTTTTTAAAATCATAAGTCTGTCTTCACTCTAATACCCTTCACGAATCAGTACTAATTAAATCTCATATTTGGATTATTGGTGTATGTTTAAAAATCTTTGATGGTTCTGAAAAGACTGCAAAATGCTTTAGTTTAAGCTAAGCTCATAAACCAGAGTAAAACTGTGCCTATAATTTATCCAACATATAAATAGTCTCTGCCCCTGTTTACCCTTGAGAAAGTGTATGCACCAGAAAAAATTAAGAAAGCTTGGATAATTTCAGTTGTAGCTGCTATTGGCACAGGTAATATAATGTCTAGTTTAATTTCTCCCATTTGCAAATATTTTGTTATCTCAAAACTGTAAGGAGAGGTCCAATAAAAGGTCAGGAAATGCGCTAGCTGGGAATTGCTTTTCCTGTGCACTTGCCCATTTTTTCTCTTGACAGATTTTTTTTGTACATAACCTACAGGAAAGAAGGCATCTGAATCCACCAAAGAGATGTGTCACGGTGTGGAAGCCCATCGCACCCACAGGCAACTAGTGGCATTTCATTTGGAGAAGTGCCATGCAGTTGCACTGATCTGAAAGCGGTTTTCTCACAGGAGGGCCTGTCTCAAAGCTCTCAAGACCCTAAGAGGCCTGCTTGAATCTGGCTTTATGCTCCACAATAGCACTTTGCCATGGGAGACAAACAGTATACCATCCCTGAAAGTCATACTTGTTCCCACTTCATGGATGACACAAATTCAAGATGAGACTTATTTTCTTCTGTTTGAAGTTATTTCAATAAGTTGTAAGATTCTCCAGAGCCTCCAGATTCTGCCCAGTTGCATGAAAAGGTCCCCCAATTCAGTGACTGCAGGCTCAGTGCCAGTATGTGTCTTCTTCATGAGGGTTCCTCCCCTGCAAAGTGTTTCCATTCCTGGCACCTTGCCCTAGTCCTGTGCTCTCTGCCCATTGTTCCTCAGGAGGAAGTGGTCTGAGGACAGAGAAGGACATCTGTCTTGAGATTCCAGGGGCCCAGTTGCCCACTGACAAAGCATAGATGAAGGAGCCAGGATCTGAAAGCCCCCTGGCAGTACAGGGACAGGAGGATCTGCCTGGGCTACAGAGACAGAGCACACAAGCCAAAGACAGTTCAAAGGCAAAGGATGGCCTGGTCACTAGTGAGGTACCATGACAAGGAATCTGGGCTGCATCTAGTCAAATTAACATGATTCTATCAGGAAGATAAAGGGAAGTCAGCAAGTTGCCCATTTCCATGTATGTGGGAGCAGGCCTGGCCCCTTCAGGATGCTGGGTACAGTGGAGTACAGGCAGGCTTTCCAGAGGCAGATATGCAGGCTGGCCCAACAGAAGACATGCCCACAGGGAAAGCTCAACTCAGAGATCCAACCAGTCTTGTTGACAGCACCAGATCATAGAGGAGGTGGCATTTTAGCAGAACTGTGGTCATATCTGACCTCTGCTAGGCATCCCAGGTCTGGGGAGACCCAACTCCAGTGCCTGACAGGCTGGAATGATGCCCTGTCTTGTACTTCTAGCTTTGGTCAGCACCAGCTCAGAGTAGGGCAAGTAAAGGGAAGGCCTGGGAGGGGAGGGAAGGTCTGGGAGGGGAGGGAAGCAGGCCCGAACTCCTTGTACTATATGCTACTATAGAGAGGCCAGACACTAGAGTGCAGTAAGCAAATCCTAAGAAACAGTGAGGGCTGGCTCTCCACAGCCTCTGACCCCCAGCTATCACTATATGTAATGCCTTATGGGGGCATATGCTCTAAAAAAGAAGCAAGTAGCTTTATTGGGGCATGACTTATTCACTATGAAGTTGACTGACCACAGTGTACAATTCAATTTTAGTGTATTTATAAAACTGTGCAATTATCACTACAACATAGTTTTAGAACATTTCTCTCTCCCCCCAAAAGTTCCCTGTAGCCTGTTTATAGTTAATCCCTATTTCCACCTTCAGCTCTAACCAAATACTACTCTACCTTCTGTCTCAATAGATGTACCCTTTCTGGACATTCAAACAAACAGAATCATACAATATGTAATTTTTTTTATATCTGAATCTTTCACTTAGCTTAATGTTTTTGAGGTTAACCCATGGTGTAGTATATCAGCAGTTTGTTATTTTTTATTATCAAATAGTATTTCATTGAATGAATGTACTAAATTTTGTTTATCTATACACCAACTGATGAATATATTTAGGATTTTTCCAGCTTTTGGTTATTATGAATAAACCAGCTATGAACAATTGCATATATATCTTTATGTGGACATATGCTCTCATTTCTCTTGGGTAGATTCATATGAGTGGAATTGCTGGGTCATAGGATAAGTTTATGTTTAATGTTTAAGAAACTAACAAACTCTTTTCCAATGCGGCTACACCATTTAACATTCCCACTAGCAATCACATATCTGAGGCTCTATTGTTAGGTTCATATAGATTTATAATTGTTATATTTTCCTGATATTTAGATCCTTTAATAATGATGAAACTTCCTTCTTTGTCTCTTATAATATTTTTGTCTTAAATTATATAATTTAGTTATAACCTCTCTTATTATTACTGTTTGCACAGTATATCTTTTCTTATCCTTTGGATGCTCTCCATTTACTGGATATGCATGTTGCCTCAGTGAGAATTATGCTTTCCCCAACCATAACCAAGCAACACACAGGTGCCATTAACTCCATCTCATAGGAAAAATGTCCCAGGAAAAGAAGGCAATACAAGGCCGGGGATGGGAACAGAACAACAGAGAGGCTGAGAGAGAAAGGGGCCCACCCTCTAGTGTCTGGCTTCTAGGATGGGCTTTTTTTTTTTCCTCAGGGTTCAGTGGAGGATCGCAGCAGGAGAAGTGATAACTACTTTGATGTTCTCTCTCAGACATATCTTGATGAAGAAGTGGAATACTGAAGTCACCTTATATATACGTGACTTATACAGTCCACTGGTACCAACATTCTATCACTTTGAGTGAAGTGTGTAAATCTCACTCCTATTTAGGTCATTTTATCTTCAAATAACAATGTTCTTCTTGAGTATCTTATGATTTTATAATTTCTTTTAATCATCAAATATTATTTTTAAAACTCATGAGGAAAAAAAGCTACTTAGGTACCTATATTTATGTTTTATTTTTCCTTTTTCCTTCCTCACACTAAGATTTTCTCTGCTATTTCAAGAATTTCTTTTAAAGTAGGCCTGATACTGACAAATTCATTTAGTTTCCCTTCATCTGCGAATGTCTTTATTTTCCCTTTTTCTTAAAGGATAATTTTGCTGGATACAGAATATGTGGTTGACAGAGTTTTTCTTTTTTTTCCTATTTGAAAATAGTGATTCAATTTCTTTCTGCCCTCCACAAATTCAGATAAAAAATGCGCTGTTATTAAAATTTATGTTACCTTGTATGTAATACATTGCTTCTCTCTGGTTGCTTTTAAGATTCTTTTCTTTTTCTTTGTCTTTCATAATTTTCTTTTAACCAACTTTCAGAGTCCTCCTGTCTCCTCAGTCCTCTTCAATATAAGAGATTGGTTGTCTCTTATATTATTTCCAAGGTTTAGAGTTCTGTTTAGCAGGGAAGAGCAGGGACAAACTGACCTATGCTGTCTTGTCTGGATCAAAAATATCACATTTTTAAACACTAAAAGGTTGCAATATTTATCATAACTATTATGTTACCTGTGAGGTGTGTTCCACGAGCTAAAAGACTAGCATCTTAGCGCATATATTACTAATGGCTTCATTTTGCAGAGGGCCATAGGATAAGCAAGCATTGTTGGAAAAAGATTAGGAGTAATTGTGGGCAGGAGGCATCAAAGCAGTTCAGTCTGGTTGCCAGCCTCTATTTAAAAGGGGAACCATCCTTCAGGAGCAGCTGCCAAACCTCCTCCAGTGTGAATGTTGGGCCATCAGGAACCACCTGTTTTCTGGATCCTCTGGGAGTGATAGCCAGAGCATGGAGTCTAGAAATATGCAAATGCATGCAGGGGTATCACACATTTTTAGGCCAATTTGTGAACTAATGTGCAGGCCTTTAAGTAAAGATACAAATTTAAACAAATTTTTGGTAATATCAAAAGAAAGTAAAATAGCAAATAGTTTTTTTAAAAAAAGGAAAAATATTCCTACCTGTTCTGAGGGCATTTCACCAAATAATGTCTTGCTGTTAAAGGAAAAAGAAATAGAAGACAGTAAATAGATGGTACTTTAGACATACATGAGCCAGGAATTAACAGGAGACCTAGGTGCCCAAGTGTTGACCAGGTACTGGTTCAAGCCACTTCTCGAGACTTTCATATTTCTCTTTGGATGAGTACAGCAGAGTCAAAGCATGGATATGTCAGGGATTTGATATTGCTCCACACCTGCATCAAGCCAAGCATGAAGCCAGACACCCAGACTTCCTGGTTACCTGATCCAAAATATTGTTTTTATTTTGTTTTGTTTTTTGTTGTTGTTACTATTGTTTTTTGCTAGGTTGAATTGTCTTCTAGTTTGAAGGGTCCAGGAGTAATAGTCACCCAACTTATGAGCTTGGCCTTAATGATGAAAAAGCTTTCTTGGGGTCACCTGTTTCCACTTAAGACATTCTTCTCTATAAAATGGGCTTCCATTCTCTGATCAATGCTCTTCCAGGACTAACAGATATCCCTTGAAAAATAGTCTTAGGCCAAGATATCTACCACAGTAGCTCCCCTTGAGAAAAACAAGATTCTACTTGTAGAGGAAATATAAGAATGCCTAGGCAAGTATCCTAACAAGTCTCCAATCTAACCTCACAGTTGAGTTCACCTCAAATAGAAGTAGAACTGAAGCAGCCACAGGGCCTTGGGGTTGTGTGATAGACTGTATGATCACACCTCCCTGTACCTTTCCACACCTATGTGTAACACCCTCCCACACTGACTCTGGGCTTGGCCACATGGCATGCTGTGATCAATGAAACACCAGCCAAGTAGAGACATAAAAGGCCCCTTTGTCCTGAGGTTTGTGCACACACACACACACTCTCTCTCTCTCTCTCTTTCTCTCTCTTCCCTTCTCCTCTCAAACCCTGCCCTGCACTGCCCTCCACTACCCTCCCCTGAACCCCTTACTCCTCCTCCTCCTCCTCTTTTTCTTTCCTCCCTCTCTCTCTCCCTCCCTTCTTGCAGGGAATTCTGCTACCACAAGCCTGGTTAGCCTATTGAAAGATGAGACCACATAGAACAGCTGCAAGTCATCTCAGCTGAGGCCCTAAAGCAGGCCCCAGCTGACTGACCACTGGACTGAAGCTGCATGAGTGAGTGTCTCCAGTTGATCCCAGAACAGCTAGGCTGAGCCCAGCCCAAATAGCTGATCTGCAAAATTGTGAGCAAATAATATGTTGTTTAAGTTATACATTTGGAGTGATCTGTCAAGAAGGTGACCAATTCAGGTTCCAGACTAGGATGAGAGAATCTCAGCTTTAAGGGGGGCTTTTGCACATTTATCTGGCCCAACTGCCTCTTAGTGCCTAAACTCTCTCTGTATTTCATTTTAGTACTATGTATCATATAGTCTATAGATACAACAATAATGTCACAGTTAATATTTGAGGACTTCATAAATTCCTGGCACTATCCTAAGCATATTATATAGATAGGTGCTTTGTATACCCTGGGGCTTGCAGACCCCAGGCATTCTTAGAAAGGGCAGTTTTAAGGAAATCTATTTCTAGATTCTCCCCTTTCCTAACAATTCTTTTTCCTGAAACATCCCTGAGGTCAGGCTCTATTCCTTTCCTCCCTCCCCTGCCACATCACCCTTTATACTTCAATCCAGGCATAGCCTTCACCTACCCTGGCTTATACTGATACTATAGAAACCTGTTCCTGGGACAAAAACTAGTGGGCATCAAACAAGAGATGATTTGAAATATTGGTGCCAGTGTTGAGGAGATGAATGACATGACTGGGCCACTAAACCTTTCACTAGGAGGAGGTTTCCAATATTTTGCTTTCAATAGGGACTGAATAATGACCTAGTCCAGTTGTCAGCTCGTAGAGTATTAAAAATCATTTTCCATGATAAATTACTATGACTTTTGACTTATAACTATTGCAGTTTAAAGTATTGAGTATAAGAATACTTCGTCCAGAACTTTGGGCCATGTTGAAGGCATAGATAGATATACTTTTCCTCCTCCCACAACAACAACAAAAAAGAACAACAATAAATTTAAAACCAAAACTGCCAGAAAATCAAATTGTATGGAAGTCCAACGACCAAGGAGTTAAAGAGAAACATTCATTCAGACTGGGAGGAGAGGCAGAGAAGACACGGAGCAAGGCAGCAGCTGGTGGTCCCACATTTGCATGCAGATAAACCAGGAGGAACAATTGGGCAGTGGGACAGACCAAGCAACCCAGGGTTCCAGTGAGGAAAAAGAAGCCTCAACACCTCTGACTGAAAGAATCTGTGGGGGTTGAAGGAGCAGGAGAAACTTCCAGCCTTACAAGAGAGCTCATTAGAGAGACCCACAGGGTTCTAGAATGTATACAAACCCACCCACCCAGGAATCAGCACCAGAAGGGCCCAATTTGATTCTGGGTAGCAGAGGAAGTGGCCTGAGAGCCAAGCAAGTGACATTGTTCCCTACCAGCACCCCAGACAGCACCAAAATGCAGCAACATAGGTTGCCCTGCTCTGGTGAGTACCTAAAGCTCCACCCCTTACAATGTTACAGGTTTGCCAGGACAAAGAAATAAGGCCCAAATGAAGGAAAAGATCAAATTTTCAAAATACAACTAAGTGATGAACTGATAGCCAACCTATCAGATGCAGAATTCAAAACACTGGTAATCAAGATGCTTATAGAAATTGTTGAATGTAGTCACAAAATGGAGGAAGAAGTGAAGGCTCTGCAAAGTGAAATAAAGGAAAATGTACAGAGAACCAACAGCGACAGGAAGGAAACCAGGACTCAAATCAACAAGTTGGAGTAGAAAATAAACACATGAGAAAAAAATTGGGACAACTGTAATAGCATAATCAATAAAATGTACTTAAAAAAGAAAAAGAAAACTTCATATTTTTATATTGAATGAGGTGTTTCAGAGCTAGTATCTATTAAAAAATAGAAATAAAACTGAGGCTGAAGTGTATCACTAATCAAATTTATACGAGTGTATATGAAGTAAAATAAAGATTTGTTTAACATTTCTAATAAAATTTTACTTCTTATGGTTATTAATTATTTATTTAAATTTTGTATGTATGTGGTTTTAATTTTATATTCATTTTCCAAATATTACTCATTGTTCAATATTGATACTTAATCCAGAAAAAATTTAAAACTTAGAAACTTATGAAATAAGAAAATAAAAAATTGAATTTAAATTTTGTGCAAATTATTTCACAGAGAATTGTAACAGGGTGATCAATCAAGGACTTTCAAAACAAAAAAAAAAAGTACTAAAGTAGGATAACATTTTCTTGGGTAAGTGAATTGAATATAAAAGCTTGAGACTTCCGGCCAAGATGGAGGCATAGGTAGATACACAACCAAAGAAGGACAACAAGTTTAAAAACAAAAAACAGACTTCCGCCAAGATGGAGGCATAGGTGGATGTGCCGTGCCTTCTCACACAACCAAGTTTAGAGACAACTAAATATTAGCAACAGAAAACACAGCCAGAACACGGAAAATTGAACTTTTCGGAAGTCCGTTAACAACAAATTCTTCAGCCTGACCGGTAAGGGGCGAAACCAGCGGCTGGTGAAGCGAGGTTGCACAGGAGGACTCTGTCAGACGGACTCAGGTGAGGAATCCAGGCATGTGGAATCCAGGCACAGGGTTGGAGCGACCGAGTGAGCGACCTGCTCGCTAGTGAGCGACCGAGCGAGCGACCAGGCGAGCGATCGCGGGGGAGACAGCGGAGGAGCGGTGCAGCGTGTTGACTGTGGTCGCGCATTTGTGCGCGGGTGGACAGGCGAGGGAGTGGGCAGTTGGACCGGGGTCAGCGGGTCCGCGGCAAGCAGCAGTGGAGGGCGCTGCCATTTCCCTGCTCTGACCCCACCTCCACATACAGTGTCATAACCCAGCGACTCTGAGTGGCCCAGCCCAGGTGAACCACCTAAGGCGCTGCTCCTTACCCAGCTGTGAGAAACAGCAGAGGGGACCGCCATTTCCCCGCTCTGACCACGCCCCCACATACAGCATCACAACCCAGCGACCTGGGAGTCCAAGGCACCACTTCTCACACTTAAAGGGCCAGAACAGACCAAAAATGGCGCAGGAAGATCTCAAAGCCCCAGAGCCCATAGATCTAAGCGATGAAGAAATAGCAAAACTCTCAGACACACAGTTTAAAACACTGGTCATCAGGATCCTCACAGAACTGGTTGATTATACCCACAAATTAGACAAATATATGAAGGCGAAACTAATTGAAATGAATGGAATTGCACAGGGCACCAATAGCAATGAAAAGGAAACTGGGACTCAAATCAATGGAGTGGACCAGAAGAAAGCAAATAATGGCCAAACAGAAAAGAGTCAGGAAGCAAGAATTCAAAGAAATGAGGAGAGTCTTAGGAACTTCCAGGACATCTTTAAATGCTCCAACATCCGAATTATAGGGGTACCAGAAGGGGGAAAGGCACAGCCACCAGTGGAAAACTTATTTGAACAAATAATAAAGGAGAATTTCCCCAATCTGGCAAAGGAAATAGACTTCCAGGAAATCCAGGAAGCTCAGAGAGTCCCAAAGAAGTTGGACCCAAGAAGGAACACACCAAGGCACATCATCATTACATTAGCCAAGATTAAAATGAAGGAGAGAATTCTAGAAGTAGCAAGAGATAAGGGGACAGTCACCTACCAAGGAGTTCCCATCAGACTGTCAGTGGATTTCTCAGAAGAGACCTTACAGGCAAGAAGAGGCTGGAAAGAGGTATTCCGAGTCATGAAATCCAAAGACCTACAACCAAGATTGCTCTATCCAGCAAAACTTTCATTTAGAATGGAAGGACAGATAAGGTGCTTCTCAGATAAGATCAAATTCAAGGAGTTCATCATCACTAAGCCCTTATTATATGAAATGTTAAAGGGACTTATCGAAGAAAAAGAAGTTAAAGAAACATGAACAGTGAAAGGACAACAAACTCACAGTTATTAACAACCACACCTAAAACGCAAGC